GCCCTCTGGCATCCCAAGCCAGTTCTTAAACATCGCACCACTTTGCGGGGATGAAGGAGAAGGGGAAGGGATGAGACAATACAAATTGGTAATTGCAATATGGCCTCAGGGATAGAAAAAGACAGTCTGAGGAATATAATCAGTAATGTTGTAAATATTTCTTACGGGGCCAGATGGAGTCATGTCCTGTTGGGGAGACCACTTCATAGTCAGTTTAGAGGCCTGACCACCGCACTGTATTTCTGAAGCTGATGTTGAATAATATTGTATGTCAACTATAATTATATATACATGTAGTCTCGGGACATGGAGTAGAGAGGGGGAATGGAATCAATGGAATTGTAATAGATAAGTATGATATCGGGAGTGGGAGGGCAATACATGGGGGGAGCGGGGTTGTTACTTTGTGAGGGTGAAAAGGCTAATTATTGCATTGTTTTGTACACCTGAAACTAACAATAAAACAAAAACAAACAAACAATAACAACAACCAAAAAAGAAAACAGGGACAAAGTATATTGCTCTGGGGAGAGGCTAATGTCAGGCAGAATGTCAGGGCTCTAACCAAGTGATTTGAGAGTCAAGGAAAGTTTCTAGTCCTTGTAAAAAAAAAGAAAAACAAGAAAGAATAACACCACTGCCGCCGCCACCACCACCACCACCACCACCACCACCACCACCAAAAAACTAGATTCTTATAGTCTGAATTGTGCCTCAGAAAGTTCATATGTTGTGGTCCTAAGCCCAGTATCTGAGAATGTGGCTATTTGGAGATAGGGTCTTTAAAGAGGTAATTAAGTTAAAATGAGGTAATTAGGGCGGGCCCTAATCCAATATGACTTGTCTCATTAAAAAAAAAAAAAAGGAAATTAGGACACAGACACACATAGAGAGAAGACCATGTGAAGAGACAGGGAGAAAATGGCTACCTGCAAACCAAGATGAGAGCTCGTCAGAAGAAAGCAAACCTACAGACACTTTGATCTTGGATTTCTAGCCTCCAATTGTGAGAAGATAAATTTCTGTTGTTTAAGCCAACCAGTCTGTGGTACTTTATTATGGCAGTCCTAGCAAACTAATATAAATGTCCACCTGGACCTAAGGGCTTTCAAATTGGAGAGGGCACAGGATATGGGGGTCTGGGGGCCAAATTATGCAGCTCAGCAGACAGAGCCACCAGGTCCCCTTGAATTGCGACCTTCTAGCCAGGAACTAGTTCTAAAAACTCCATCTACTGGTTGGGATGGGGTTTCTAGTGTTCTTCCAAATTTAATTCTCATAGGCTCAGTGATAGGACACAGCAGAGCTACAGGTGGAAAATCTTTAGTTCTGATGCTGGGCAGAGGAAGCAAGCAGGGGATTTTTGACTATCTCAGTTTATAAAAATAACAGGATATCAACATAGAGTAAAAAGAAACGCTAGATGTAGTCAGAATTGACTTGGTAAAAAATTAAGGCGTTTGTACTCACACAGTCTTTGATATTAGACTAAGAGATATTAACGTCTAGTCTGCATACTAAATGCCTTACTTTGCCTTCACTTATGCCTTCTACTGTGGATCGACTACTATCCTTGCTCCCTTGTGTTACTTCAACTTCCTCCTACCTGGTCTGTCTCAGCATGACTCCCCAGTAATGAGCATCAAGGGCAGATCATTTGAAACAAGAATGAATACATTGCCATGATTTTCTCATTTGTCTGTATACATTTGCCAAGGAATAGAATCACCTAGAAATTCTACCTGACTCCTTGTTCTACTCTCCAAAGTTTAATTGTATATTCTTCCTTTGCAATTACTCTCACATTCATTTTTTTTTTTTTTTACATTTCTACATATCCTAGTTCAGGCTCTTTGGAGACCCAGCCTCACCTACTAGAGTAGCCCCCTTACTGTCCTGCTTACCTCCTGGCTCTCTCCTCACCCCTTACACCTATCCTGCAGAAAATCTTTAGAAATCTTTGACCACAATGCCAACCTTCAACAATGCCTACTGTAACCTTCAACAGCTACTGACTGCCTATAGCAACAAACTTCAACACTCCGCAGCCTAATGTTTGAAGCTTTGGGATTCTGGCCTCCTTTAACATATGTCAGACTCATTTTCCTCTACCCTACCTTCCCAAAGTCTCTAACACGGCGGTTCTCAACCTTCCTAATGCCGCGACCCCTTAATACAGTTCCTCACGTTGTGGTGACCCCCAACCATAAAATTATTTTCGTTGCTACTCTATAACTGTAATTTTGCTACTGTTGTGAATCGTAATGTAAATATCTTTTTGTTTTCCGATGGTCTTAGGCGACCCCTGTGAAAGGGTCGTTCGACCCCCAAAGGGATCGGTGACCCACAGGTTGAGAACCACTGCAGTCTAACACATTAACGTGGTTTCAGGCACTGCCCCCTACATGTCTGCCATGCAGCCCTGAGTTTTCCACCCCCACCCCTGTACTATTGCTCATATGCTTGCATTCCTTACATACCCCCTTTCCTGTGCTCCACCTATCCTTCAATAACATCTCAAATCCTAGATGCTTTTGTTTTTTTTTCTTCTAGCATGACATGCCACCTTCTCTGCCTACCCAGGCTACCTATCTTTCCAGGCCAACCATAATTTCTACCTCAGCATTGAAATCTTTCCTAACCACCTTGGCATTTAATCCTTTATGAAAGGTTACTGGGAGGCCTTTAGGTGACAGATATTGTCCAAGCCCTAGGGATCATGGTTGGATAATACATAGTTTCTAATTTCCAGGACAATGTGCTCTCCTCCCTTTTTATGTGTCTATTGCAGCTATTGCCCAAAGACTTGTCTATTAATAATGTGATAGCTTAAGAAATTTCTTCTGTTTTGAGTTGCTGCTTAAATTTCTATGATTGCATTTTTTAAAGAGATAATTTATGTTTCCCAGTTAGATAGTAAAGACTTTTCCCCATAATGGTCTTGTTTAGTGTGAGAGAGGAGAGGGATACATTATTATGGAACAGGCATTGAGGGGCTATTTTTGCTAGCAGTCCATTTTGTGGGACACACAGAAATATTTTACAGATATTTACTGCTTAGGATAAGTCTAAAGCAGAGAGTGCCCACTCAGGATTTTTAAAAAGTGAGTTGATTTAAATAAAAACATTAAATCAACGGTTCAAGTGATACGCAGTTGTGGTAAAAACTATAGATATTGTCCCTTCAATTACTGAAACAGTGTTATATGATATCACATTTATTTCTCACAACAACTTGGGAAAATTAGAAACTAAAGTCCAGAGAAATGTTGGAACTTATTCAAGTGAGAAAACTAATAGGTTGTGATAACAGGTTCAGGTTCAGAGACCTAGGTACTCGGACTAAAGCTCTCAGAATTTCCCCCTTTACCACAATGTTCTTTTGCATACAGGAAGGTTTAGTTTAATTACTTAAGTGTGTGTTTGGCTTGTGCTTTTTTTTTTTACCCCAGCTCATGTCCTCAAAAAGATTGACTTTCTAAATTAAATCCTTCACCTCTAGAAAAATAAAAGGGGTACCAGAATGAATTTGGTGTGTTTGTAAGCACATTTATAAAACATACAAGGAAAAGGACCTGATTTCCTGCCTGGCTGAGTGAAACATTAATTCTTCACTTTGGCACCTCAACCTACAGCTGTAATAAGGGCCGTTATGCCCAAATAGGCCCTTAAACGGAAGACCTGCTGAGCAGAGACCCACTTTTCCAGCCCTGCTCAACTGCATTGGCTTTTCTGCCAACTGACCAGGCGGAAGCAGCAGCAGGGGAGGAGGGACTGCAGGTAGGTGGGGAGGGGATCATTTTGAAAGCCCTAAATCCCTCGCAGGATGAAGCAGCTGCTCCTTGTTTTTCTAACATCTGTCCCATCTGTCCCTGGCTGCCCGGCACCCTTTGGAGGTTCGAGCTAGCTAAACGTGGATATATGACAAGGAAGAATTTCTGCAGGCTGGTTGGTGAGTGGAAATCAGCATAATTGCTACCCAGAATGTTTCTTGTATTGAGAAGAGGGCAGTCGGGGTTCTTAAGGAGGATGGTTATCACCTTACTTCATTTTCCTCACAAAACATACAGCTTTAATTGACAGAGTCGGGGTTTGTAACATCACCCAAATTAGACAATTCGCACTGAGGATATTATTTCACAAAGCAGGGGTACCTCTAGTGCCTAATTTTTTTGACACTGAATTTTTTAAATTTTATTTTATTTTTCAAGTGCAGTTGACATGCAATATTATTTTATATTAGTTTCAGGTATACAGCACAGTGGCTAGACATTTATATAATTTATAAAGGGATACCCCCCCAAGTCTAGTACCCACCTGACACCATACCTAGTTATTACAATATTATTGACTATATTTCCTATGCTGTACTTTACATTTTAGTGGTTATTTTGTAAGTACCAACTTTTAATTTTAAGCTCCAGGGAAGTCACAGGATGCTGATTTGGGAGAGAAATAATGATGCTGCACACCCTATACCACCTTTATGGTGGAACTCGCTGTGCATATTTCACATGTGTGGCGTTTATCACATTTAACAATGTGTTGCTTGTATATGATTCCTCTGTCAACACGGTGCTTCTCCATAACGGGGACCTTATTTTTACTCAATTATTTCCTCCTAGTATTCAAAACCAGGGCTGGAACTTGGCAAGCATGAAATAGACATTTATAAATGAATGAACAAAGAAAAAGTAAAAGGGCAGGACGATTGATTTGGTTCTCCGAAATTCGGTGTGGAGGGAAGGGCTTGGAGTCACTACGTGGTATGAGGGTGCGAAGCAGGCCCACAGCTTCTGTTTATGTCACCCCAAACCCGGGTGGGAGAGCGGGTGCCTCAGCTCCGCCCAGAGCGAGTCTGCGCAGGTCTTCAGAGAAGGCTCCGCCCCTAAGGAGGGCGCAGTCACGCCCCCTTCCCAGTCATTCCCACTGCGAAGTCCGTTCCACTTAGTACAGGATTAGGGGCGGGGCCACGGTAGCGCAGGCGCTGTGGGCGGCGGAAGTAGCGACTAGGAAAGAGGGAAAGGGATTAGCTGCGCTTTGCGAAGGGCACCGCGCTCCTCCTCCGTTTCCTTCTGCGGAAAGCTGTGGGCATCCGCACGTGCAGCCGAACCCAAGCTCCTCCCTTTCCCGCCCCCCTGCCCGGGAGCGGCCAGGCGGCTGCCTTCCTGTATCGCCGAGATGGCGCTCGACCCGGCAGGTACGCGGGCGGGAGGCGGGGGTTGCTGAAGAGTCTCAGCTCGTGTCTCTGACCGCAGGCCTGCGGGTTGGGGGCCCGCCTGGGAAAGGTGCCGAGCTCTGAGGTTGCACTGCTTCCGCAGACGTCCCCTCCCTCCTAGCCGGCTGCCTTAGAGTTTATGGGCAGCCCCAGCTTCTTCCCTGCGGCCATGAGTTCTCTAACAGCTCATTGGGGTTAGGGTTAGGTGAGAGGCATTGGGTTTCTTGTCCAAGCTCTGGCCCATATGCGGTTTACAAACATTTTCCTCCTTAACGGGACAGGTTTCTTCATCCTCATTTTCTCCCCTTTGGGGCACAGACTAACCTTTAAATATCTGTAGGCCAACTTTAAAACAATACAAAGGATCCATCCCTGTGTAGCAAGAGTCCGTTTCTTTGGAAAGGATCCCCCAAATCTACCATCAACGTTATTTTTAACTTAAATGCTTCCACCTGTCTCCATTTACAGCAGTAGTTTGTTCCCCTTGCATTCCCGACCTTACGGAAGCTCACCTGAGGTATCCTTGCTTTAGGATATTTATGTAAAAGTCTAGTTAAGAGAGCTGTCATTTTTGGAGGGAATGGTAATTGGTCTAGTCCATTCCTTTCGTTATATGGATATGAAAACCCAAAGCATTGGGAAGAGAAATGGCTTCAAACCTTTGGAGATTCAGAAATGAAAGTCACTTTGGTGGCCCTCGAGAAAGAAAAATATGTGTAGCTGACAAATAATACATTTATTGAACACTTGATTACCAAGCTAAGGCTTCTCAATCATCCCACAGTAGCGTGTGGTATGGTAGATACTATGGTCTTCGTTTTACAGATTAGGAAACTGAGGCTGCGAGAAGATAAACTAATTTGAAGCATGCTAAGAGTTTCCGGAACACACAAGGATCATACCAGTATTGGGCCAGGTGATTGGATCAAGTTTTAGGAAACAGTTAACAATTGATTTGGGCTTTGAAGGCTAGACTTCGTAGTGACGTTGGAGAAGACATGGCACAATGAGCAAAGGTATAGGCCGTATAAAGTACACTGTGTGATGTTTGGGTGCAGGGTGAATACCTTGGATTGGTTGGTGGGGTATGAGGGCTTGTCAGTAAGGGGTGGGTAAGTTCAGACGGGAAAGTAGATTGAGGCCTGTATTATTCCAGTATTTCTGAGCTGGAAGTGACAAAGTAATCTCATACAGATGAGAAAACAGACTCAGAGAGGTGAAAGGCTTTTATATGTCTACGTTCTTAAATTTAGACAGACAAGAAAATTGAGAAAAAAATCTTCATACTTGTCTCCACTTTCTTTCTTACTGTCCAGAAACTTTTAACCTACTGCAATCTTTTAGGTGGCTTGCCCACGGTCACAGATAATTGCTGGTAGAGCCAAGTCTGGATGGAACTCAGATAATTTCATTTCCAGTCCAGCGTTACAGGTATAGACCCTGCCACTATTTGAGTATTTATTGAGTAAACAACTACTTGCTGAGTTCCCATTGTATGAGGTGTGATAATTAAGTTCATGAACTCACCCTAGAAAAAGTGCTACATGCCTCATTGCTGAATATCACTATGGTCACCTTTGAAATACTCCCCTTGGGAAGCTATGCACCCACACCAGTGCCTAGTCCACCCTTCAGAGCAATTTTGGAACTCTTTTCTGCAATGGCCATCAGAGCAGAGCTGTCATATTACCCTTGATGTCCTGAATGTCAGTCATCAGAATGTCTTCCTTTCAATATTTCCTTCATCTTTGGGTAAAGAAAGAAGTCATTGGGGGCCAGATCAGGTGAGTAGGGAGGAAGTTCCAATACAGTTATTTGTTTACTGGCTGAAAACTCCCTCACAGACATTGCCGTGTGAGCTGCTGCTTTGTCGTGATGCAAGAGCCATGAATTGTTGGCGAAAAGTTCAGGTCGTCTAACTTTGTCACACAGCCTTTTCAGCACTTCCAAATAGTAAACTTGGTTAACTGTTTATCCAATGGTACAAATTCATAATGAATAATCCCTCTGATATCAAAAAAGGTTAGCAACATTGTTGCAACAAGTTTGCGAATTTAATTGTCAGACCTTGTATGTCATGTATTGTTTGTTCTAGGCCCTAGGAAAGGTATAGAGGACAAACGAGATCCCTGCACCCCTGCTCCAAATAGAGCTTGTATGTAGCTAGTAGTAGACAAAAGAAGACCAACATCCCTCTCCCCGCTTCCCATAGACACAAACTTTTACCGATTGTGATAAACATGAAGAAGATAAGCAGCGTCCTGTGGTAGATGGGGAGGTGGACTACTTGAGACAGGTCAATGAAGAGCTCGGTGAGGAAGTGCCATTTGAATTGGAATCTGAAGGACAACAGGAAACAGTCTCGTGAAGAGGTAGGGAAGGAGTATGCTAGGCAGTCATGTCGCAAGTGCTTCAGATGTTTGCCGGAATGACGGCTCGAGTGTGGAGATCCATAAGGAAAGATGGTGGGAAAGGAAGCTGGAGGTAAATGCTGAAGGCTATGATAAAGCATTTGGACTTTTTTTGGATGTTATCAAAAGCTTTTGTAGGTTTTTAAAGAGGCATAATGTAACTTTAAAATTACAACACTTTATGTCTTTACTACCCTGGCTGCAGTGGTAACATGCATTGTAGAGGGACCCTGAGTGGAAGCAGGGAGACAGACTAAGAGGTGATAGAAATTGACAGGACCTGCTGTTGCATTGAGTAAAGATAGTGAGGGAAAGGGAAGCATTAAGGATAATTCCTAGGCTTTTAAGCAGCTGAGTGGATGGTAATAGTCAAATCTAACAATGTGATTATTGGAGACTGACAAAAGCAGGGATGGAAGCAAGGTTGGAATGGAAAAAGAAAGTGGAGTCAGCAAGTAGGAAGATTTTAGAAACAATTCTTTATCTATTTAAATTGTAGAATACAAATGTACCGAAGCCACTTTTTTTTTTTTTTAACTTATTTTTGTTTGGTTCATAAGTTGAAGCATAGGTTCACATTTTGGTATTTCTCTTGGTTTTCACAGTCCACAACGGTATGTGCCTATACTGAGTAGATAGTTATGCCAAATGAGTTTATATAGCAAAATTTGTTTACCCATTTGTTTATATTACATTTTTTGAATTCTCTATACAAGTTTGATCTTTATTTGGCAGTAACTTTTAAGTAACTATAGGTTCCATTTTTCTTCAGAAACTCTGAACCCAACAATGAACTGCAGGTTACAAACTTATATGTAGTTTTATTTGAACTATTTTTCTTTTTATTAACGTAGAGGTAATAACAGCACACTTTGTAAGTTTATTGGCCATAATTATGTTCATTATTTTCTCTTACTATTTGATTGCAGAGAAAAAGAGGGAGAGAGTCCAAAATACCCAGGAAAAGTGGATGTGGCGAGAGATTAAATTTAAAAAAAAAATACTAGTGCCTAGGTTGTATTCCCAGATATTCAGATTTAATTTGCCCAAGCCTCTGACATTTACAAATATTCCATAGACAATATAATGTGCAGAGTAGAGGAGAACCACTGTTCTGAACTCTTCCAGTTTTATTGACTAGTCATTCAGCTTTGTTTGAAAGTCTAATATTCCTATTTTCAGAGGAAGTTCTTTACATCTTTAGCCATAAATGGGACCTGTGATTGTATAGTAATGATTGAGAAATATACAGTATAGCTCTTTCTCTAATAATAGGACTTTAGCATAGTGAGTCTTATTCCAAGTTATAGCTTCTTTACCAATTTATAATTCTTTTTACAAATATTGTACATTTTAAGAATCCAGTCAAACTTAGGTGACTGAAAAATTTAAAGAGCGTTTATTTTGAATATATAACCCATGATCATCTATAGAAACAGTGTTAAAAGTGGTGCTTGTTAAAGTAGAATTTTCAAAAGGGTAAAATTTATTAATCATACAACTACAAAATGACTACTTGTTGAAAATTTTCTTCAACTCGTTAATTAGTGAGGGAACCAATAAAATGTAAAAAACAGTTCAAAAAGCATTTGAGAACCTAGCTACGTAGACAGTTTTATACATTGCTGGCTTAGATAAAAACTGGATAATTTGCAACAGGCCATAAACTAATCTTTAGGGCTATCTTTTCCACCGGTCAGAAATTATTTCTATCTCTATTCGACAAAATTCTAGAAGTTAAACTGCCCCTAACAAGCTGTAAAATAGCCCAGCAATGGAAAGTCAAGCCCGGTGCTTACCATGTACACCCAGTTAGGCGTTTGCCATCTGCAGATTCTAGATACATTTTCTGGCATGATTATATTCCCAGATGACAATTCGCAGGAATCTAGGCCTGATCGTTTTGATTTGTGACTTTCTTTGATAACTAGAAGAGATTCTCTTCTCCCTTTATTTTCCCTCTTCTAGCAGGGTAGGAAGTTTCCCTCCCCCTTGTCAATTAATGAGGATTTGTTTTCTACTTTTGCCCAGTGGGGCAATGGCAGCATGAGAGGTTTCCTTAAATCTCCGTGTGTGAGTGTGTCTGAGCGTGTGTGTCCCTGTCCTTGTCCCTTTCCTTGCATTGGTGTTTTCTTCCAGAAATTGAATCGGGAGGAAGATGGGACAGTGATAGGGCTCAGGGGTGTGGAAAGTGGGCCAGGAATTTCATAACATTGCATGAGTAGATGTTTAAAGTGTATGTATCTTGGGAGGATGGCATATGGTCTAACTCTTGGAGTATTTGGGCTGCAGGGGTTATTTTAGTGGTTTTTGGTGGGATGTAGGTAGATTAGTTTTAAGGGAGCTAGCACTTAGGGCTAGCTCTTACATTTACTGGAAATTTTTTGCTTTTTAAGTTAGACATCTAAACAGATTTGAAGAATCTTTTTTTTTTAATTTAAAAAAATTTTTTTTTATTGGGGAATTGGGGGGATGGGAACAGTGCTGGGGAATTGGGGGAAGGAGAACAGACAAGTTGCTGTCCTTTTGTTCTTCACTCTAG